ATGCATTCTGTGTAAAACATCAATGTGATGCATCTAGTGAATACTTAATCTAAGGCTTGTTATAAGAAGTGTTGTATATGAACACTGCCTTAGGAATTTTCTTTTTAAATATTGATAAATGAAACTATTAAAAAATTAAAAATTGCTTTTGAAGTGTAAAACCGTCAAAAGTGGAAGATCCAGATTTTAGCTTCCAAGTCCTGGTTGTCACTCATGTTTTAAGTTGTGTCTGCTCGTTTCAATATCCTTCTGCACTTGTTGACCTGATTGCCACAGTTCTGCTTTGTATTTTTTATTTTTGTTTGTGACAAACTTTTCTATTTTGCCCAGACAATTTCACTTTGCAGCATTCTTTATATTTTTATTGTTATTTACTTACATGGAAGAAAAGGGAATGAGAAGTTGACCATCAAGCTGAAGTAAGAACAGGCTTTTCACTTGGTACTGTTATAACTCGCTTTAGATAAATCTTAAAGTAAGTGACTGTCAAAGGTATGAGATAATAGAAAGGCTGGGTAGTTGGGATTGGACACTGTTAAGTTTGGTTTCTTTATGGCAATTCATTGGAGTTGAATTTAATCTGGTTTAAAAGTTGGATTTTTTAAGTACAAAAGCTTGTATTGTAGTATGACAGAACTTTAGACTTGTTTTCTCCCCTAAACTGTATTTCTCTGATGTGCCAGAGTTGGATTTTTTTTACATCTGCTTTTTGATGAGGTGTCTGATTATCTGTTTTGGTTTTGTCCTGTTCCTTGTATGAGTTGGTGAAATTCAGATTTTCTTTTAGATAAGCCTTTGGCCTTTCAGTTGCTTCTGCCTTGCAAAGGAATTAATTCCTTCAAGCCAGAGAGTCTGCAGCTCCAGCTGTGACTGTAGATGAATGTTCTTGCAGGGTCATGTACTGTAACTCTGAACCTAAATAAAAGGATTAACAAGAGTTCACTTGGAGGAAAAATGCTTAATTTCACTATAATGACTATGAGAATCCATAGGGAAAACCAATAAAGCTTTACTATTAAAATCGTTAACAAATGATTATTCCACCCTGACCCCCCTTCCTGCTGTTATTGTACTTTTGGAACAGTAACAAAGGATGGGATTGACCTAGTTCATGGTAGTACTTTAGTCCCTGGCCTACAAATGATCTTTTTCTTGAAAAATAATTCCTAGTCTAGTTCTTTTAGGAGGCAATGATGGTATTTATGAAGGAAACAATGTTTTCTGATGCATTTCACTCAGTCTTCTGCCCTAAAACTTTCCTTGGAGCAAAGGAAAAGAAGGGGCATTGTGTAGATAGTTATGCTGGGACTGAGCCTGACAGCCAGCAGTGCCCAGGCCATGCATCTTATTTTTTGAGCAGAGCATGTATATTTTCCACACCTAACCCAAACTGATTTTAATGATTCCTGTCAGAAAGGGATGGTTTCCAGTGTGACTCTCTTTAGCTGCGTGTGTGTAGAGCTCGTTGTCTCTTCTCCAAGCTGCACCTCTCTGCCCAGGAGCAGGGGAGGGCAGAGGGGGCTGCTGGCAGGGGGCTTCTTTACTCACTAGTATCTCTGTTGGCTGTTGATGGCTGGAGTATGGCCCCTTTCCATTTGAGCAAGTGGTGTGAAGGGCCCAGCCACTACTCAGGGTGATAGTCTGATCCTTGAATGCTCTCCTGTTTCTAATGGAGATGTGAGGGGAGAATGGAAGGAGTTTGATCATAGCAATCTTGACTCTTTCCCCAGCATTTTAGGACTTCCAGCGTTAGGCAGCACTATTATCTGAGTAGTCAAAGTAATACTTCTTTTCCTTCGCAAGGAAATGGATCCAATTAATTAAAATTAATGCAACTGGTGCTGCTTGGTGTAAGAAATCAAACAGACAAGAGTAATCTAATTTTAAAGGTTAAAGATCAATATTAGCTTTGTCTTTTGCTTCATTTGGGCTTTGGAGGTGGTCAGTGAGTCCTGGTTGGTAGGTTGGTGACATTCTTGAACCCCTGGCTAGCAAATGCCATAGTGCCCATCTGGGTTGACTGCCAGGAGCTGCTGGTGTTGAAGTCAAGGCATGAAGGCTGGTCCATGAACAGTGCTCCCCAGTAATGGTCCAACGTGCTGCTTGAGCACATACTTAGCACCAAGAGCTGGGAAGCATTTTGGGTTCTGTCATATGTTTTTCTGTTCCTTATTTTTACTTCAAAGACTTTGCCCATTTGAGACATGTTTATGTATCTCGTATATATTTGCAAAGAAATAGAACTTGTAAAAGTTTTCCTCAATTTTTGTTTCATCAAAAGACCACCTAATAGGTTTTTTTTTTCAGAGAAAGAAAAATCTACGGGCAGCATTGTGCTACATTTCAACAATGGTTTTCATTTGTGACCAGATGAGAATCACACTAAACTTTGAATGTTGACCCACTCTTCTTATTTCTCTCCTGTTGTTTTCTTGCTGTCATGCTCAGGAATGTGGTTTCAATTTTTCCTTGTTGTGATTATTTTGTGGACCACCTTCTGAAACTGTAGGGACCACAAGCAGTCCATAAAGATGACTGAGGAGCCGCAGTCTGCATAGAATTCCATGTGAAACTTTTGTTCTTCACTGTACCCTTGCTCCAGCACTTTGAACCAAATGTTTCTGATGGTCTCTTGTTTAATACCTAATTTGGCTTTAATTAGGCACGTGTCAAGTGTCTTCTAAAGGTGGGAACTAATTGCAGTCAGATAAATCAGTCATGCTCTTTTACCAACTTCATTTTATCACTGGTTGGTTTGAGGTTTTTTTTGTGGCTGTATGTTCAGGTAAACAGCCTTAGCTTTAGAGGCGTTCTCTGTTTTCCCTGTTCTTCAATGACCTTGTGAAAGAGGTCACTTTGCAGAAATTGCAGAGACTGTTGGAAGAGGCTTGAGTTTTAAAAGTCTGTTTTGTGGAAGCAGTGTGGCATTCCTGAGTGGCCTGGATTTACAGACAGTGTTGTAAGGTGAAAATATTAGACCAAAGCCACTGCAGGTAATGGTACAACCGTCCAGTCTTCTCTATTGGTATATGTTAATTGGCAAGTTTACATTAGCAGGATTTAAACATGGGCAGGTAACTGCAATTTAGGATTCCCCCCACCCTTGGAAAATCCGCTTAATAGCTTGAATGCACACCAAGTTTGTAAGATTAATTCTGGATAAAGCTAATTTACATTAACAATTCAAATGTTCTGTATTCTATAGCTGAAAAATGCTGCTAAGTTATTCTCTACTTGGAAAGGCAAGCTGGGTTCTTTATGCTTCACATATCACCCAGAGACTGCACTCAACCACGTTGTGTGCTTTAAGCGGTAACAATTCATTGCCCTGAAACCTTCCGTTATGTCTGGGCTGTGTCACTGAAGGCTGAGCAGGTTGTGTGAATGTAAAGGAAGGTATAATAGCCAAGTTGGGCTGTTGTGCTACTATAATGTGAGATTGGAGGGAGCAGAGGGAGCACAATTTTTTTTTTTTTTTTTTTTTAAACCTAGTTTGATCTGTGAGCTAGTGAATTGATTTTCTTATTTGCTCTGCTTACAAATTAAATAAGTATGAGTCAGTAATGAATATCACCTGATCATGCCATTTTTCAACTTATTTCTTAACATAGAGCTGCACTGTGTAGTAGGTGATGAGGTTCGGTAGACTTTTAAGAGTTATGTGAAACTGGTGATGTGAAAGGATGCAAATTAGAAAAATGATTGCAAATATCTTTTTCCTTGCATAAGTTAACTTCTAACTTTTATGAAAGCATTTATGTGCATATACTAGTACTAGGTAAGCCATTGAAAATTCTGTGGGTGAGTATTGCATGTGGCTTTTGAAAGCTTAGTCTCATAATAAGTATAGTGAAACATAATTGTAGCCATGAGTGATGCTTTGCTGTCCTTACTGTAGTAGGCAACTGAGCTGTCCATGAGAAGTAACTGTATTGAAGCAGCAGAAACTGCAGTGTTCTTCCATGTGTTAAGGATTACTAGAAATTGTGTGAGACCACTGAGGGATTGCATCTTTCACCTTAGATTTGATTAAGATAATTTTATAATGTGAATGAGGGAGAAAACGTGATATAGGTGTAATCCACAATAAAATGTGGGTGCTTCATAAAAACAGACCTGTTGGCATACTGTTACAAAGAAGTACTTTTCCCGGGTCCTAATAAACATGTTTTGCCCATGGAGTTTATGGTGATATGCTTGCAGACATGGGAGTTATTTGCAGTACATGAAATCTGAAAGGTTAATTTGCTAGCTAGTTTACTGCATAGTTATTCTCTGTTAATCAAGCAGATGCATGCAACACTAACAGTGTGCGTTTTTTCCAATGTAGTATTTGATTAGAAAGAGAAGGCTTTGCGGAGATACAGTATAACTAATGTACATTGCAGAGCCTTTTAAGGTATTTGTGTTGTAGCTGTAAAGTCAAAATGCAGCTCTGGAGAATTCTGCGTCCAGAATTTTAAAGCATTCTTTATACCTGGACACTTAAGAAACATAGAGCTTTCCAACTGAAATTGAAAATGAAGGAAAAATATTAAGGCAAGACACATGTTTCACATTTAACATAAGTCCTTCTTTCTGTAAATTATAGCCATAATTTGGAAATGTTGTTTCTTTTCCTGTGAGAACTGAAAAACTTCTCTGTATACAGTGTGAATTAGTATCAACAAGTATATGTGGATACAGCATACTTGCCAAAACATTAAACCAACTAGGGATGCCTGCTTTTCTTTTTTGATACTTTTATGTGTTGTGTTGATTTTCCATCTATCATTAGTCTTGTTAGTAATTTTCTTTCTTGTGGTTCTAGTTCTGCATCAGATGAATGTACCACAACTTCATTTTGAATGGAGAACAAGTTAAAAAAAATTAAGAATCATCTGAACAAAGAATTCCTTGCAAGGGCAGCATAAGACTTATAAGTATTATTTTTGTACTTGCTGTGGATTTGGTGACTTTTGTATTATGTAACATGCTTATATATCTTTTTAAACTTTTAGGAGTTCATCACATCTTTTTGTTATGTGGATGCTGAAGCATTATCCTGAGACAGCAGCAATGATTGATGAACACATTTCAGGTAAGAAATCAGATGTATGCCATTTGGTATGGTTGTTCATTAACTTTCCTCACTTTAAGTTAAGCTTCAATAGTAGCAGTCTAACATTACAGCATCAAAATTCACTGAATATAAAGTATAAATCTCTGCGTGAATGTCTACATATGTCTGTAAATCATTGTGAGCAGGTTTTTGGTTTTTCTCCTAGATTTGATAACTCTTGACAACAGATGACTTTGCGTGTTAAACTGGGTTTTAATGATCAAAAGATTATTACAAAATACGGTCTGTCTTTTCTAATTCTTCCATCAACCCACCTGCTCCTGCAGGAATTGGTTCCATCTACTTCAAGATATGCCAGATTGGAGGATCTAGTCCAGAAGGCTTTACTTCTCTAAACCACACTTGGCCTGCTAAAAAATTTTTGAAGCTTGCTCTTTAGTAAACTTTTTACCAGTTAGTCTGCTAATACTTTGGTAAAATTATCTACCATGAAGAGGAAAACAAAACACTTTTTTGTGTATTTGTGGTGAATTCCAGCCATATCCCACAGGGTAGATGATGACTCTCCAGTGAATTCTGTTCTTCTCCTGTGATCCAATTTAATTCACTGAAATTTTGCATTTAGATCTGTAGTGGTTGTGTCTAGTCTGATGCAGTTTTCTGCACAGGTGACTCCATGTGTCTCAGTTTGTTAAATAGAGACTTTGTGAGATTAATTTTTCCTCAATAAATCCACTTCTATCAAAGATATGGTTGTGATGGAAGTACAATAAAAAGAGAATGTGTGCCAGCACATGCATGTTTCTTTGCGCAAAGCAGCGGACTTTCTTTCTCAGTCATCTTGTGTACAAGAGTTACCTGATGTTGATGAACTGTAAGATTATTAGTAATACATAATTATCCTATGTAATGGATTAGAATGGTGCGAGCAAACAAGCTGCTTCTATTATAGTCTTTACCCTTGCCATTGTATAAAAGCATTTCCTTTACTTTTGAAATTTATTTCACATTAGCAGTTACAGCTGTAGGCCTGAATATAAGGACAATTTATTGAGTGGTTTAAGTAACTTGTTCTTTGAGGCTGTGCCAGTTCAGGATATAGTTGTCAAGTTGTTGATGCCCTTGGAAGTTAACTCAAACCTGTTAAAGCCTACAAAAAAGGCAAGCAAAACTTGGTCTTGATTCAATTCTTGCTCTGTCACAAGCTTCCTGGGAAACCATGGACAAATTCTTTAGTCACCATATCAGTAGGAGGTGAGTGCTTACATACCTATGTGCTTGCATTTCTGGTAGATGAGGTAGTGTGTCCAGAGTACTTTTCTTTTTGCACAACTCTGATATGCCCAGGGCTATATCGAGCTTTCTGTGCTTGAGGATCACCTCTTGTTGGTAATATAGAGCTGCTAGGCAGCCAGTGCTCAGAAGTGAAGGTGCTGGCTGCCAATGTACATTTCAGCAAAATTAGGTGACTTGGACTTAACATGTAAGTGGTGTCTTGGTACATGCATGGGCTTTTAGTATCTCTCGACTTTCAATCACCCTCTTTTCTTCCTTTCTAAGAGTACTGCGAAGATAAATATGTTGAAGACTGCATTGTGTTCAGGTGGGAGCCCGATGTGTATCTAATACAGGCGTACTGCTAAAGGCGTGTCTTAAGGCAAGAGCACAAAGTATACAAATGGATGACCCTGAAGTTTGCTTTATTCTGCAAATGCAGGCTGTAAGAGCATAAACACAGCAAATGCATCAAAATGTCAATATCTGTTAGGTCAAGGGACCAGGTTAAGCCTAGACATTTAAGGAAGACATAGTAGCCTTCTTCCCAGGGAGTGACTGGTAGATGATGTCAAGAGAGGCAAGTGGAGCAAGCCCAGCATGTGGTTGCTTCCCAGATCTGCAGATGAAGGACCCCTGAGTCAATGGTGGCTTCTGTGTTGAGTAGTCTTGGGTATACTCTCCCCTTCTGTGAATTTGTCAGGTGATGTTTTGAACCCAGGTGAATTTTTAGGCTCTACAGCTCACACTGTTCAGATTTTCCCAGCTGAATGCCGGCAGGAGGGAGGGAGCCCTCCCTGAAGTTAGTTTTGAACCTCCTACTTGCTGACTTCATTTAACCTTGTCACAAGAATGACATGCCAGGAGAGTCAGGAGTTGAACTGTGCCCTTTCTGCTCCAGTGGGGTGGTGGGAAAGGGTGATGGGTGCTGAGCTCTGGAAGAGGCACCTTTTTAAGTAGTTAGACTAAAATCTCCCCGAAGTGAAATGAAACAGCAGGGCTTCTGTGGCTCTCCCACTGTTGGTGCCTTCGTAATGTGTAGGTTTGAGGCAGTTGCTCAGATGTGTCTTCACTTTCTCTTTGATATAATTTCTCACTTTTTCACAATAATTTGGGATTTGTGTGGTCTTTATGTTCTGTACCTCCTTGAGTTCCAGAAAGCAACAGAGAAGATACTGTCTTCTCTGCTGTGAGGCAGTGTCCTGGCCATTTTTTTTTTTTTTCCCCCCTGACAATTCAAGATTGTGTGGAAGAATATATCATAAGCTTTAAAATATCCTGGGGGGACACACTCAGTGAGTTGAGCCTCTCAGCAACACATTGAAATATAGGACCATTGATCAGAATTGAACTATATTTTTTTCTTGTTGTTTTTCTTTTGTACATTTACAACATTGCTTTTGGCTTCACAGAATTTTTAGATGCTTTAAAAAGAAAAAAGGAATTACCCAGTATCTTTGCAGCAAAATCATTACACTGAAGATCTGATTGCACATATTCCAGCTAATGTGTCAATGCTATGGAAGGAAATTTAAATATTGCATAAATCTACCTGATTTAGATGGAGTTACAGAAATATACTATTCAGTATATATGATGGTAACCATTGTGGTAGGATTTCTGAACTGGAAAAGGCTATGGCTTTGCTGAAGATGAGCCTCTTGAAAAAGGAAAAATTTGACACTGTGAATGTGTTAAGTACAGAATACAGAGTACTATACTTCTAAGAGTAAAGGCTTTTAAAATACTGTAAAAGCAAGCAGAACTAAAATGAGCTCTTAGCTAGAATTTTAGAGCCAGTTGAAGGAGAATAATTTAATTATACTGACTCTTCTCGTTGGCAGAGAATATTTGGGAGACAATTTATGCAGCTGGGTAGAATCTGGGTTTAATTTTGCTCTTTTTTTTTTTTTTTTCTTCATAACACAGTGAAGATCTTGGACTTAATATCTTTTCCTGATTACAGAACCAATTTAACATTGTACACTTATTTCCATCCTATCTGCCCTCATTTTTCCTTCTGCACCTGTATTGAGGGCAGAAAGTGATAAAGCAGCTCTTACAAAGGATTGCCTTGATGTGCAAGGCCTTCAGCTGAATCCTTGAGATACAAGTTAAGTTGGATGTAGCATATCATTTAAGGCTTTTTCAGTTGGAGATGACTCTGCTGTGTTTGTTCTGATGGCTGGTGGAAAAGCAAGTAAAAGACTGCCAAGCCAGCTTTCTCACTTAAAGGAAACTGTCGGGTGCCTTGTTCCTCAAGTCCTCAGAAAATGGGTAAAGGTTTTCCCCTGAATCCCTTGTGGGAGGCTGATGGACAATGAACTTGCCTGTGGTGCAAAATGACCAGCTATTTAATGGAGAAAAGAGAGGAAGAACCTCAAATGAAAAAAACTTTGCAATCCTAGAACTGTAGTTGAACTGCTTCTCAATGTTTTAAGCCTTCAAAAAGGAGTGGTGGTTAGGAGAGGAAGAAATCTGCTGCTTTGCTTGCCTGTGCTGGAAGGAGTGGCTGAGAAAAATGTTGTGAGTGTTTCGAAGGGGAGAAAGTGAGTTAGCCAATTTGATTAGACTAAGGAGAATAAGGTTTATCCACAGATCATCTGGATACATGTGAATATATGGAGGTGGATTGTTTCTTGCCAGAGACTTGTATAAAATTGAAAAAACAGAACTGTTGTTTTTTTTTCTGTAGCAGGATATAACTAGATTGTAAACTCTGGCAGGACTCAACATCTGAATGCTTCTTGAAACTCTGACAATGTTTTTGTAAAACTGATTCTGGAACTGAAATAAATGAGAGAGTTTTCTATATTCTCCCTCATGTTAATTAGATGAAACAGTAAGTTTTGTATTTATCCAGAAAGAGGTCAAAGCAAACAAGAATGAGAATGAAGGAGCCAATCAAGGATAAGTAATGAGCCAACTTCTCAAACTGGCAACAACATACCAAGGGTTTGGAAAAAGTACACTTCCAAGCTTCCTTTATTATTATAACCTCTTGAACAGAATAATCCAGTCCAAACAGCTATAAACGCGTTCCAATAGAGAAGTTTATGACCTAGTTTCTGACTGAAATACAGTATCACAGTGTGTGGAAAGAACTTAAAGAAGACGCTGGTGGCAGTGCCTCTAGAGCATTGCATTAGAAACTCAGTGTATTTAGGCATTCCTGCCCTCTGCAAATACTTGCTAAGTGGAGTCAAGTGGAGTGAACTTGAAACATTGGGTTTTTTTGCAGGAGACATAGACATTTAAATGGCTGGGTTGGCATGCAGAATTTTCATAGGATGTCTGATATTTTTTTTAACAGAGCACTGTTTGGAAAAATAATTGTTCTATGATTATTTCAACAGGAATTCAGCAATTACAGGATGCCTTTCTAGATCCGATGTTCCTTTAGAGTAGTGAAGGGGGGAAAAAGTGCATTTAGTCTGTTCACAATTTTAAGTCTGTTCTGGAGAGAGTCAGAGAGAACTTTGATTAGGCTCCATTTGACTCGTGGCCCTCCTGTGATGAGCAGGGCAAGGAGTTGAGAGGAATGTGTTAGGAGGAGGTGAGAACAAAAATGTTGAGCTTGTGATTTGAACACTAAATTCTCTAAAATTGGAGAAATATTTTTCTTTGCTTCTGTATACCCTTGCAGGAGGTATCAGAACAGGCCATGTTTCAGTTAGTTGCCCTGGTGAGAGGCTGGCCAACATGGCACTTCTGTGATGGGGAGGAAGCAACACAGCAGTAAA